CACCTAAGCACCAGGAAGGGAAGTTAGAAGCAAATGTTGCTTCCACCTTAGGAGAAGATGATGCACTTATATGCTCTTTGGAGAGCAAACAGGAATCTTGGGTTTTAGACTCCGGTGCGTCATTTCATGCAACTTCACAAAAAGAACTCCTTGAAAGGTATGCCCCCGGAAACTTTGGAAAAGTATAAAAGTATACCTTGGTAATGACCAACCATGTAATAATTGTTTGTAAGGAGTTTGTGAAAGATTTAAGTTGAATTTGGAACGGGTCTACATGGGAGTTGAAGGATGTCGACATATTCTGACTGAAAGAAGAAACTTAATCTCAGTAAGGCCAGTTAGCCGCGACGGCTACACAAACAACCTTCCATGGCGATAAATTGGAAGATTAAAAGGATGCATGAGGTTGCTCGTGGAAGTAAGAGTGTACTCTTTACATGCACAGGAGGAGCAAGCTATTTCATTGCTGTTTGCACACACGCAACAGTGAACTCCCAATATTGGGCATCACAAGGCTTGGCCATAGAGTATGAAGGAATTGACAGATTCTACACTCACAGGGAAAACTACCAGGTCTTCAGCAATTGAAATTGACATGTGTGAAGACCTGCATATTTTGGAAAGGCAGAAAAGATCAGCTTTCAAGACAAATAGAAGAACCCCAAAGAAGGAGAAACTTGAGCTTGTTCACATTCCGATTGTGTGGGGAGCACTACTGTCCCCCCCTCATCCATTTGGGTGGGAACAACTACTTTGTTGACTTTTATTGATAATCACTCTCTGGAAGTAAAATGGGTTTACTTTACTAAAATATAAAGTCAGAAGTAATTTGATGCTTTCAAAATTTGGAAAGCTATGGTTTGGAAAATGAGACAGGATTGAACATCAAAAAGCTCAGAAACCAGACAATGGTGGTGAATATGAAGACACACAGATTCCCAACGAAGTTCTGCTATGAGCAATGGAAATTAAAGATGGAGAAGAACCGTGCCAGGCACACACACTCAAACACAATGGTGTAGCTGAGCGCATGAATCGAACGTTGACAGAAAGAGCCAGAAGCTTACGTGTAAACAAATCAGGCTACCAAAGCAGTTCTGGGCAGAAGCAGTCAACCAAGCAGCTTACTTGATCCACCGAGGTCCATCGGTCATTGGAGCCCACAAAATACCAAGGAGAGGTATGGAGTGGAAAAAAAGTAAAACCTCTCACACCAAGAGTTTTCGATTGTGTAGCATATGTGCATATTAAGTGATCTGGTAGGAATAAGCTTGATCCCAAATCCTAAGAATTGCATTTTCATCGGCTATGGCGGAAATGAGTTTTTGGATATCGACCTCCTGGGATGAAGAAAAAGAAAATGAATCCGCTAGTAGAGATGTGGTTTTTCAATGAAGAATGATGTACAAAGAACAGACATAACACAGTTGCCAGCGAACTCAGAGCAGAGGCAGAGTGGGCCAGTGTTTGTAGAAGTGGATGATATCCTAGAAAGTCTGTCGAATGAGTTAGTTGAAGATCCTCAATCAGAGGAATCAACCGACACACCACAAACTTCTCCTCCAAAAGCTTTAAGAAGGTCTGAACGTCCTCCAAAGCCTAACAGAAAATATGTGAATTATTTGTTATTAACAGATGGAGGAGAACCTAAATGCTTTGAGGAAGCATGTCAAACGGAAGATGCCAGCAAGTGGGAGCTTGCCATGAAAGATGAAATAAAGTCTTTAATCTCCAATCAAACATGGGAACTAGCTGAGTTACCGGTGGGAAAGAAGGCACTTCACAACAAATGGGTGTATCGAGTGAAAGAGGAACATGATGGTTCCAAGCAAAAGGAAGGAGTTGACTACACCGAAATATTTGCACCAGTTGTAAAACTCAATACTATCAGGTCTGTGTTGAGTATTGTTGCTAGTGAAGGGCTGTACCTTGAGCAGTTGGACGTAAAGACAGCGTTTCTTCACGGAGACTTGGATAAGGAGATATACATGTACCAGCCAGAAGGATTCTCAGAAAAAGGAAAATGTACCAGCCAGAAGGATTTCTCCAGAAAAGGAAAAGACGAATATTTGGGTGGGTGCAAAACTCAAGAAGAGCTTGTTTATTGCTTTAATAGCAAGCCCCAAGACAGTGCGTACAGAAAATTTGACGGCTTCATTTGGCACAAGGAGAAGGTTTTCTAGAGGTGCCCAATGCCGGACCACTGTTGCTACTTCAAAAGGTTTAAAGAACTAGTTATATTTCATTCTGTTACTTTATGTCCGCATGATTGTTAGTATGTGCCGGGGACCAGATATAAACCAGATATAAACGAAATCAAAAACTTGAAGAAGCAATTGTCAAAAGAATTTGACATGAAGGACTTGGGTCTAGCGAAAAAGATTCTTGGAATGCAAATTACGAGAGATAAGCAAAAACAGGTGTTGCAATTATCTCAAGCGGAGTACATCAATCGTGTATTGCAAAGATTCAATATGAACGAAGCTAAGCCGGTCAGCACACCCTTGGCTAGCCATTTTCGCCTATCCAAAGACCAGTCCCCTCAGACGGAAGAAGAGAGAAAAGACATGGCCAAAATTCCTTATGCTTCAGCCATAGGAAGTTTGATGTAGTATGCCGTAATGGGTCTGTACCGAGACCACGATATTTGGCCATGCAGTCGGAGTTGGTTAGCAGGTATATGGGTTCAAAACCAGGGAAACTCACTTGGAAGCGTAAAGTGGATTTTGGGCTATTCTACGAGGCACTTACTGAGAAGTGGTTTGTACTTTTTTGGTTAAAGGAGAACCTTAAAAAAGGTTACAAAGTGTTATGTAGATGCCGGACTATGGAGGCGACATTGATCACCGGAAGGGAAGCCACCCACATTGTTTATATTTTCACTGTTGTACTTAGACAGCTTTTGTTAAGCACCACATGTTATATTTTCACTGTTGGTACTACAGCTGTTTGTTGGATGTCACAGGTACAAAAGATTGTAGCCCTATCCACCACAGAAGCTGAGTATGTCGCAGTGACATAAGCCAGCAAAGAGATGATATGGCTTCAAGGCTTGTTAACAGAGTTGGGATTCATGCGGAAAAAGAATATTTTGTATAGTGATAGTCAGAGTGCAATACATTTGGCAAAGAATTCAACATTCCATTCTAGAACAAAACACATTGGTCTTCGATATCATTTCATCAGGTCTCTGCTTGAGAATGATGTAATGAATGTTGCTAAAGTTTAGGGAGAAGATTCAACGGAAAACAAGAACTTCCCAGCTACATCTGTTAACCAAACAGCGAGTGGACCCATTTTGACAGAAACTGAAGTTGTTGCTCGACTTCAGTTGGCCTGTCTTAGAATACAGGAACCAAGAAGAATGATCTGCCCGGCCAAAAAAATGTTGTGAAGACAGATTTAATGAAATCATCTTCAGTGGGGGAGATATAAATCAAGATATAGAGAAAAAATGGTACACACACACACGGTTGAATGAAAAAGAAGAAATATTGTATGGAAAGATTAGAGAACAAAGCAAACTATTTTAGGAACAAGAATATTATGGAAACCGATATGATAGAGATATATAACACAGGAGCAATATATCTCAAAAAATACATACATATATATAACATACATAACCTTTATTAAAAATAGGAGAGGGATTTTTGCCTCCGGGTTTAATAAACAACCCAAACAAGGACAGACGGAGGAGTTTGAGATCAAATTTTGTGAGAGGGAAGGCCAATTGGTTGGAGAGGAAAAAAATTTAGGAGTGATTATTTCCCAAGAAAGAAAAAAAAAATAACAAGACAGAGAGAGTGAGATCAATTGTGAGAGAGCAATTGTGAGAGAGAAAAATAGAGTGATTATTCAAGAAGAAAAATTAAGCTTAATTTTTCGTGTATTCTTGAAAGAGGGTTGTGAGTGTATGTAAACACTTTATTTATTTTTCTCCTATAAAAGATATGTGGCAGTCTGGAGACGTAGGCAAGATTGGCCGAATTTCGTTATCAAATTGTGTGTTATTTTCTGACTTATTAGGGATTTAACAAGACAGAGAGAGTGAGATCAATTGTGAGAGAGCAATTGTGAGAGAGAAAAATAGAGTGATTATTCAAGAAGAAAAATTAAGCTTAATTTTTCGTGTATTCTTGAAAGAGGGTTGTGAGTGTATGTAAACACTTTATTTATTTTTCTCCTATAAAAGATATGTGGCAGTCTGGAGACGTAGGCAAGATTGGCCGAATTTCGTTATCAAATTGTGTGTTATTTTCTGACTTATTAGGGATTTTGCGTAATTTTTTTCCAACAGGGAGGAAGCCAACGTGATAGAAGAATTTGAAGCCAAGTGAGTCGAAACCAGCACCTTCTGATAAACATCAGGAACATGACCAACAAAAGCCACACCATCCTTGACCAAACAATCAACACTAATAGTGGCTCCCTTGAACACCACTTGATTCCTATATTTCCAAAATTTTCAGCAAAGAATCCCAAAGAACACAGGCTAAGGAACCCCTTCTACCATCTCATTACGAACACCTAAATTCCTTAGAAACCAATTCTTGAAATTAAAAGGAGGCTAAAAAAATTCATTGCTTATGCTCACTGGTATAAACCTACACCAAACAACTTTATCCACAACACAGTCCCGCAACAAATGAAAAAGTGACTCAGGCGCCATAGAGCATAAAGGACACAAAGAATTAACAGCCAAATGCCAATGTTGCCTCTCAACATTAGTCAGTAACCCACCATGGAGAACAGTCCAAAGAAACATTTTAACTCTCTCAGGGCTTGACCACTTCCAAATCAGCTTCCAGTTGAGATTAGGAGAAGGCGATGTAGGGGCGGTAAGAGACTCATAAGCAGATCTCACAGTGAAGTTTCCCGAAGCCGACGGATGCCAAAAAAAAGAGTCAATCCCTGCACCAAGGTAAGGTCGCTCAATAGCTGCAATAGAAAGCTTAGTAGAATTAGAGATAAAGCTTTCAAACTTTGCCCAATCCCAACTGTGCCCCGGTGTGACATACAAGCTAAGTACCAAAACCAACCCAAAAACCACTCTAAACCAACCCAGCCCAAGGAAAGGCCTAGAGAAAACCATGAGACGAAATGAACTTGAATCAGACGAGGAGGGATAAATTAAATCTAGAACTTTTTGACGAATCAAACCGATATTGCTTAATTAATACGAACCGAACCAAAAATCATCAACAATCCTCTTCGTTCTTCTTCCTTCAAGCGATCTTTGATCGCTCTTAATTCTCCATGAACCCCAGCCCGCTCCCGGTTACTAGCGCCACCACCTCTGGCCAATCAACAGGCGACCACCACCTCCGGTCACTTTTTGTGACTCTACCCTTATATTTTCTTAATCATTCTGCTCTGTTTGACCCTCTATTGCGCGAAAGGACAAGCGAGAGGAGGGCAGTTCGCGACTCCGGCCACCAACGCCTCCGCCCGCGAGTTTTAGTGCACTAGATGAGTCAAGGACGGCCTTACCCTTCCTCTTATACCAATCTTTGCAATCAGTTTTGTGTTCTATTGCGAAAAAATATCGAACCATAAGGTTAGGGTTCCTAAAAAAGGTTAGGGTTCCTAAAACCTATTTATGCTAAAATCCAACTAGATTACTGAGTCATTATGAAAATAAATACCATAGTTGTTCTAGAGAGATTTTGGTCATTTCAATATATACCTTGTGAACTTTGGTGGAGAAATTGAAAGTTTCTTGTGATGGCAGCAACTATGAAGGGGTTTTGCTACGATTTGAATTGAAACCAGCCATAGCTAGATGATTCGTTTCACTTTTATGTTGATTCCTAATTTTTTGATGAACTAATAAATGATCCAATCTTAGAATTTCTAAGTAGTTGTGTTGGCAATTGACCCCTTTTAATCAAAAAATAATTAAGAACTTGTAAGATCTTAGTAAATAGTGCCTAGAAGTTGAAATGTGAGTTGTTTAGTTATAAGCACATGTTGAATAGCAATTCAAGGGTGGAATGGCATTTTAAGAATCAATTTAGAACCTTAAAAATCATGTACAAAAAGGGTCATTATGCCAATACTTAGTTATTAGATGTAGTCATTTGTAAATTGTTTAGCATAAACTATAGCTCTATTGGTAGGGGAGGAATGTAAGCAAAGGGCTATAATCAAAGTTGGTTCTGTAAAGCATAAAATTGAAAGAGATTCGATATGGGACAATCATTTATAAGGTGACAACTTTAGTTATTGAATTTAAACCTTAACTATTTAATTTATAGTTTATTTACTAGTTATAGTTTTAGAAGTATTGAAAATATAAGGTTAATTATATAAGATAGCATGATAATTGAATGATTGATTAATGGCCATGCTCGGGTGGTGAACCGAAGTGAGATACAATTTGCTTGTTATAAATCTTAGCTAATCAGTGGCAAGGTAATGGAGCATCTACATTAATGTTATTATTTGATTTGGCTGCTTGAATTTAAATGTGAGTTATTGATGAATTATTGGCGGATGGATTTCTTATTGATAGCATGATAATTGAATGATTGATTAATGGCCATGCTCGGGTGGTGAACCGAAGTGAGATACAATTTGCTTGTTATAAATCTTAGCTAATCAGTGGCAAGGTAATGGAGCATCTACATTAATGTTATTATTTGATTTGGCTGCTTGAATTTAAATGTGAGTTATTGATGAATTATTGGCGGATGGATTTCTTATTGAGATTGATTAGGCCATTGGACGGCCAAAATGATTTTTCTATATTGTTTTCTGTAAATTTAATAGGTAGATGATTGAATTTTTAGGGGAGACTCTGCCGGAGTGAGGATGGAAGTGAAATAATTACCAATTTGTTTTAGTAAATTAGTATTAATGAAGGTTTAATCCTTCAGCTGCTACAGGAAACCAGAATTGAAATAAGAGTTGTTTTTATCCCATAGTAATGTGAGTAGTATTGAGTATTATTCATACCTAAAAGTATTGAGGGCTGCAGCTTCTATGAAAGATTTGTTTGTTCATTTTGGTATCAGAAATTATTAATTATAGGACTAATATTTATAAAGTTACTCAACCAATTGGTAATCCTTTAATTATAATAAGCCTTTGAAAGGCAGCATTTTATTGTGTATAGACAAATCCCACACCAAACATTATCGGTGAGGTAGTAGTGGCCATTACGAAGTAATGCATTAGATTGTGCAAAACCTGTCTTTTGGTTATCAATTGCCATTAACTTCCAATAATTGTATATTTATAATGAAGGATTTATCGTTAACCATCTGAGTTTTCAGTTTTGTAAGTATTCGTTAGTTGAAAATATTGTTGACTGGATTTAATTGTAGTTGTGAACCGATTGGAGGGCAAAAGTATGAATTATACTTCTGCTTTCGTTGTTAGTGAAGATAAATATGAAGTTATGGGGTAATGATGTTGAGATAAATTGCATGTAAATCAACTATTACTTGCATTCAATATTACTTTCATTCTATATTAGTTCAGTGACATAAGTGAGTCTTTTCTTTTCTATAACTTTAACAATTTCGTTTGTGAGAAATTATCGCAGATTATGTCTTGTGTTTGTAAAATACACTCTTTCATGGAGAAAGAGAGACAAATGATTTATGCTAATAATAAGTTTGTAAAAAATATGAAGTTATGGAATAATGAAGTTAAGATAAATTGCAAGTAAATCAACTATTACTTTCATTCCATATTAATTCAGTGACATAAGTGAGTCTTTTCTTTTCTATAACTTTAGTGATTTCTTTTGTGAGAAATTAATGCAGATTATGTCTTGTGTTAGTAGAATAAACTCTTTCATGGAGAAAGAGAGATGGATGATTTTATGCTAATAATGAGTTTGTTTTTCAAATAGCCTTGTCTTTGGCTTTTTAAGGAACTCTATATTGTCAATCACCATATACAAACATTGGCTTCTACAAGCCCGCTTTGATAAATTCCTATGAGTCTGCATTAAAGTTATTCACTTACTTTATTTTTCTTTCTACACGCCTGCTTGCAAAACTTTGGCCTCCGTTTTGTGGTTTATCTCTTGTATGATATTGTATATATAGTTCCTTAAGAATTTACTTGCTTTCTTTCAATTTTTTAGCCTTATCACTTGTGCATAGCTTGGTTCTGATATAGCTGTTTATTTCTAAAAAATTGCATATGTACTTTGCTTTCTTTCAATTTTTAGCCTTATCACTGTGCATAGCTTGGTTGCTTGGATATAAGCTTTTTTATGTTCTAAAAAATTGCATATGTATGTCTCTTGTACTGAATTATTGATTAAAGATTGTGTTTTAGGCAGTCTTTTAATTGAGAAATCGATTGTCCTCTGCAAGGGTTGATGCATTCAAGGTTTGTGATTTTCATATTGCCGTTTCAAAAATATTTGGATCATCCAGAATGGAAAGTGTTTTCTTTTTTTTTTTTTTTTTTTCTATATGGCATGATTTAGCAATTGCAAATTATTTGTTGTTTTTGCTTTGCTTGCTAATTCTTTGATGTTATTAAGTGAGTCTTTTCTTTTCTATAACTTTAGTGATTTCTTTTGTGAGAAATTAATGCAGATTATGTCTTGTGTTAGTAGAATAAACTCTTTCATGGAGAAAGAGAGATGGATGATTTTATGCTAATAATGAGTTTGTTTTTCAAATAGCCTTGTCTTTGGCTTTTTAAGGAACTCTATATTGTCAATCACCATATACAAACATTGGCTTCTACAAGCCCGCTTTGATAAATTCCTATGAGTCTGCATTAAAGTTATTCACTTACTTTATTTTTCTTTCTACACGCCTGCTTGCAAAACTTTGGCCTCCGTTTTGTGGTTTATCTCTTGTATGATATTGTATATATAGTTCCTTAAGAATTTACTTGCTTTCTTTCAATTTTTTAGCCTTATCACTTGTGCATAGCTTGGTTCTGATATAGCTGTTTATTTCTAAAAAATTGCATATGATGTCTCTGAATTATTGATAAAAATTTGTTTTACAGCTTTAATTGAAATCGATTGTCTCTGCAGGTGATGACATTCAATTGTGATTTTCATATCCGTTTCAAATATTTGGATCATCCAGATGGAAATGTTCTTTTTTTTTTTTTTTTTTCTATATGGCATGATTTAGCAATGCAATTATTGTTTGTTTTGCTTGCTTGCAATTCTGATGTTATGCTATTCTAGCAGCTCAGTCAAGGTTAACTCGTCAATACAGTCAACTGTCATCTGTTCTTCATAAGATCTTCTCCAATGGCAAAGGATCAATCAATTTCTGTTAAAGACACTGTTCATAAGCTCCAACTTTCCCTTCTTGAAGGCATTAAAAATGAAGATCAGCTATTTACAGCTGGATCTTTGATGTCTCGTAGTGACTACGAAGATGTTGTTACAGAGCGATCAATAGCAAACCTGTGTGGTTATCCGCTTTGCAACAATTCCCTGCCATTGGATCGTCCTTACAAGGGCCGATATCGCATTTCGTTGAAAGAGCATAAGGTTTACGATCTACATGAGACATACATGTATTGCTCTTCCAGTTGCATTGTTAATAGTCGAGCTTTTGCAGGCAGCTTACAAGAAGAGAGATGCTCAGTTTTAAATCCAATGAAACTTGATGAGATCTTAAGGATGTTCAATAATTTGAGCTTGGATTCGAAAAATTTGGTAGAAAATGGGGACTTAGGGTTATCTAATTTGAAGATTCAAGAGAAGATAGAAAGTAATGTGGGTGAGGTATCATTGGAAGAGTGGATTGGTCCATCAAATGCAATTGAAGGCTATGTTCCACAAAGAGATCGTGACTTCAAGGGTTCATCATTCAAAAATCCCAAAGAAGGTATCAAAAGTTCTGTCATTGGTCCTCTTGTTATGAAAAATGATTCTTTTCCAAAAAATAATAATAAATGATAAAAGTTTCCCCTGCATTGTTAACTTTTTGTTTTCCTGATGACAATGTTTCTTGAAATTATTTTATCTTGATATACCTAAGTGAGCTTGAATTATATGTTGCAGCATCAAAAGCTATCAGTACCAAACCAGTCAATAAGCAAGAATGTTTCTTTAATGACATGGATTTTATGAGCACTATAATAACTAAAGATGAGTACAGCATTTCAAAAGCTCCCTCTGGTTCAATTAGCACTGGCTCTGATATGAAATTACAAGAACAAAGGGGGAAAGAAACTCACAAAGGCTCAGAGGCTCAGTCGTCTTCTCCTGGAAAGCATGCTTTTGTTAAGACATCAAGAAAATCGAAAGGAGGGAGGAGTAAACAAATCATTAAAGAAGAACTTAGTGATAAAGACCTGCTTTCAGCTTCAAATTACTCTCAAACCGGTTCCAGTATGAATAATGCTGAACCTGAAGAGAAATCGGGAGCCAAGCAAGCAGCTAATTTAAGTGAATCTATGCTCAAACCCTCTCTTAAACCTTCTGGTGCAAAGAAATCTGTTCATTCTGTTACTTGGGCTGATGAGAAATTTGATAACGCTAAAAGTAGAAATCTTTGTGAGGTTAGAGAAATGGAAGATACAAAGTCTGGTCTTGAGATTTTAGACAGTTTGGAGAACAATAATGATAACATGTTGCGTTTTGAATCAGCGGAAGCCTGTGCAATAGCATTGAGCCAGGCGGCAGAAGCTGTTGCATCTGGAGATGCTGATGTTAATGATGCTAGTATGATTCTGTTCACATTTATTGTTGTTAATTACAAATGCAAAGTGAGGTTTTGCATAAAATACACTTGCATCCCACTTGTTTTGAAAACGTGCACTCTAATTCCTTAATTTTATTAAGGGCACAATAGTTTGGTCTGGGGGTTCAGAATTATAAAATTCTAATTCTTTGATTTTAAAACTCAGCTACTTTTTAATTGATATGCTTTTAGAATATTTAATATTTTTGCCACTTAGGTTTATTATTATAAAAGAGTCTGGTTCATGAAATTATAATGAGTTCGTAAGCATATTTTTTAAACTGAAGAGGTGCAAGTGTACTTCAGAGGAAACTTTCAGAATTGGGGGATTATGGTTCATGTCGGTCATTATCACAATTAAATTATCTGTTTATACACATAATTTAAGGATTGTTTTATCTAAATCTTCATGTTCCTCACGTATCTTGGCATATATATTCAGTGTCTGAAGCTGGAGTCATCGTATTACCACAACCACATCATTTGGCTCCTGGGGATTCCACGGATATTGCTGATATGCTTGAACGAGAATCTGCTTCTCTTAAGTGGCCAGCAAAACCTGCTGTTGAACAATCTGATTTGTTTGATTCCGAGGATTCATGGTATGATGCTCCTCCGGAGGGATTTAGTTTGATGGTAAGTCTGTAATTGAGTTTAAAACTGTTTGTGTGTAAGTCCACCATTTAGATTTATACTTACCCTATCTGTTTCAGTTATCCCCTTTTGCAACAATGTGGATGGCACTATTTGCTTGGGTAACTTCATCTTCCTTGGCTTTTATATATGGAAGAGATGAAACTGCCCATGAAGATTATTTATCTGTTAATGGGAGGGAGTACCCTCAAAAGATTGTCTTGAGAGATGGTCGTTCTTCTGAAATCAAGCTTACTGTTGAGGGTTGTCTTTCTCGGGCTTTTCCTGGAGTTGTTGCTGATCTCAGGCTGCCAATACCAATATCTACACTGGAGCAAGGAGCGGTACTTTTTCTTGGAACTATTCTTTTGTTGCAATGAGTATTATGTCAAGGGACTTGTAGTAATGCGTACCTTAAAAGTAAAACTAAAAAGGCAAAAGATAAGTTCTAGTTTTGGTTATCAAGATTCCAATTTTTTAATTCTATTGGATCGTATTCCAAATATTTTAATTCTATTGGACCGTATCTTAATTATTCCTGGTCCTCAAAAAGCAAAATCTTTGGAACCAAAATGCATTATTCCCATCATTGCTTGTGATCTGCTAGCCTTCATAATTTGTTATCCCATATCTGTTTTCCCTTTCCAGCATATAATTTCCATGATAATATTATTAGATTTTATGGGTGATGAAGTTTCATGCTGTTAAATAATATAGGTGTTGGAGTGGGCTTCCTTTCCTTACCCAAGTCATGTTCTACATTTCCTTTAATTGCTTCTTACTATCATCAGCTCATCATTGTTTGCAAGTTCTTTTAGTAAATTATTCTCTCGCTAAAACCATGTTGAAATATCATGCGTCTTTAGTTATGAAAACACGGCTTTAACTGGTAAGCTGTTATGCTTGTGCTGTGCCTATCAATTTGTTATAATTTTCAACAGGTGTGCCCTGAGAAGCTTTTATACAGTTTATTGATTTCTCTTCCACAAACTTGATAGAAACAATTGCTTTTGATTGCAAACTGACCTGAGAAATTTTTAATGCAGGGGCGCTTGTTGGATACGATGTCTTTTGTTGATGCACTTCCCCCATTCAGAATGAAACAGTGGCAAGTCACAGCTTTTCTCTTTATTGAAGCTCTCTCTGTGTGCAGGATTCCTGCACTTACTTCATACATGACTAATAGGAGGATGGTGCTTCACCAGGTGAGACTCTAGATATTTATGTTTGGTTTAATTCCTGTTAAAATATCAAGATTGAAAATCGAATGGGATATTAGAATGATATTTTAATGTTTACTTGCATAGATGGGACATTAGAATTCGTTGCTTTAGAGACTATGTTGATAGGTTTGCATCAGATCATCCTTTTAAGACTTGTGATTATATAAATTTTGAAATCTGGGGAACTTATTACCCTTTTGGAATGGAACTTATTTCTGGTGTTGTTGGCCAAATAGGTGTTGGATGGTGCCCAGATAAGTGCAGAAGAATATGAGGTTATGAAGGATCTCATGATTCCTCTTGGCCGAGACCCTCGAGCACGGAGTGGAGCATAATGTCTTGAATATTTCATCAGTTCCATGGAAAAATTTTGATTAGTGGCATCAAAGATTGATGATCTCTGTTTTGAACAATGATTCTGACAATGGTCTTGGAGAATGATGGAGTTATAGCATAGACACTAATTTCAGTGCTTTGAATCGAAATTGTTTTTGGAAAGGGTTTTGCGCCGGTTCAGGTGTATCTTCCTAACCAACAAAAATGAAAAATAACCATACAATGATGATTATATCAATGCAGAAGAAGCGAAGTAATTTCTGTAAAAAAAATAGTGTCTCATTACTTGTCTGCTTGTATCTTTATGTGTAATTAATGGACTTAAAAGCATATCTTACAAAAAAAAAAAAAAAAAAAAAAAAAAAAAAAAAAAAAACTTGTATCTTTAAATGTGTAATTAATGGACCTTAAAAGCAATATCTTACAAAAAAAAAAAAAAAAAAAAAAAAAAAAGAAATAAAAATGAAATGCTTGCAACTTAGAAAAAAAAAAAAAAAAAAAAAAAAAAAAAAGAAATAAAAATGAAATGCTTGCACTTAGATTAAAGTCACAATTCATATTGCACTTAGATAAAATTTGCATCTCTCAGCCAATCAATGACTCTGAAATAATAAGATAAGATGGTAAATACTGTTTTTTTTTTTCTTTATAGGATGATATATATTTTTATACTTCAATTTATTACTTCGAAGGGATATAAATTCTAAATAATTTTTTCTCCCTTGCATATAATAGTATGCTTTCACTGTTTCAATCAGCCACACTAAACACTATAATAACATTTCTTTCAAGTTTATTGTATGAATAATTTGCTCATAATTAGAATAAAATTTTCAGTTATATGTAATGTATGTAAATCATAATGTCCATGTATTGTATTCACTTTAATTTTTTTAGCAATTTTACTCATGCATGTACCTTACACTTTAAATAAAATATCAAATACTGTATAGCTGCACGAACCGCTGGAAATCACTTAATTTTTTATTTTTAAATAACTGTAAATGAAATAATCATTAAAAAAATATTAATTTGAAAAAAAAAAAAACACTAAGAATTATTTTTAAGTGGCCAATAAAGTCCGAATAAGTAAATATAAACATCTACCAATTGATATGAAAAATTGCCAAAACATAATCGATTGAAAAGTTTACCAAACACCTACAACCTAATTGTCGAGTACGAATCACTAACAACTATTAGCTACATGAATTAGTTGATACAAACACCTTCTTAATTGCAAATTTTAATAAGTTCATTGTAAACATTTTTTGGCCAGACTTGAAAATAATAATGATAAAAAAGTTTAAGCACTAAAATTATCATTTTCCATCTCATAATAACAACTGAAATTTGATTCGTCACATTAAATTAAAAAAATTATCTGGATAGTTTATTAATTTATTTTAATTGAAATTTAGCTAAAAAATTATCAATATAGAATTTAGTTTTTCAAAATTTTTTGTAGAAAGGAACTTAATTCGTAGTATCAAATTTTAATTCCATTTTACCAATTATTTAATAATAACAATAATAATTTTATAACAGGAATTTCTAAAATCATTGTTATTTTTTATTATTATTTGAACAAAAATTCATCTAAAAATTTTTTTTTAATCAAATTACAAATTTGATACGTTATATGCTAAAAAAATGAAAGAAAAAAATTAAAATTTTGATTGGGCTCGTTGAAACAAGCAAGCCCATATTGGCCCAAAACTGAAGACAAACCATTTCTCTAGCTTTGTCCAAGTAACTGTTTCTCCAAACCCTAATAAATAAAACTCAAAAAAGCCGAATGCCAAAACCCTAATTTTCCTTTGCACACTATAAATACTCAACGTTTGAGTCGTTTCGCTCTCTAAGTCTCTCTGTGCCACTTAGCCCTTCTATCTCTATCTCAATTCTTAGAGCAAACCCTAAAGAACAACAATGGCGGTTGAGGGTTTAGTTCTTCGCGGCACTATGAGAGCCCACACCGATCAGGTAACGGCCATCGCCACCCCCATCGACAACTCTGACATGATTGTCACCTCTTCTCGGGACAAGTCAATCATCCTCTGGCACCTCACCAAGGAAGAGAAAACCTACGGTGTCCCCCGCCGCCGCCTCACCGGTCATTCTCACTTTGTCCAGGATGTTGTTCTGTCTTCGGATGGTCAGTTTGCTCTTTCCGGCTCCTGGGACGGCGAACTCCGTCTTTGGGATCTTGCTGCTGGCGTTTCTGCTCGTCGTTTTGTAGGCCATACTAAGGATGTACTATCTGTTGCATTCTCGATTGATAATCGTCAAATCGTATCGGCCTCTCGTGACCGTACGATTAAGTTGTGGAATACTCTTGGAGAGTGCAAGTACACAATTCAGGATGGTGATGCTCATAGTGATTGGGTTAGCTGTGTTCGTTTCAGCCCTAATACCCATCAGCCTACTATTGTTTCTGCTTCATGGGACCGAACTGTGAAGGTTTGGAATTTGACTAACTGTAAGCTGCGATGCACTTTGGCAGGGCATAATGGTTATGTTAACACTGTTGCTGTGTCGCCTGATGGGTCTTTGTGCGCAAGTGGTGGGAAAGATGGAGTGATTTTGCTCTGGGATTTGGCAGAGGGAAAGAGGCTTTACAATCTTGATGCTGGTGCAGTCATCCATGCTCTGTGTTTCAGTCCTAACAGGTATTGGCTATGTGCAGCTACAGAACATAGCATCAAGATCTGGGATCTGGAGAGCAAGAGCATAGTGGAGGACTTGAAGGTGGACCTCAAAGCTGAGGCTGAGAAATCCGAAGGCAGCACTGCCACCGGTACAAGTATCAAGAAGAAGGTATATTTTCTTATTTTATTATTTATGTTATTATTGATTTTCATTATCTAATGAACGCCTTAGCTCTCTATATCATTTATTTTTATGCTTTTAAACTCTATGCATTTTATTGACTCTTACATGGTAAATGAGATGTGTGTTGTCAGTGGGATTTTTTTGGTGCGTTCCCTGTTATACCGTGTTTTGTTGATTGTGCATTTTATCAATGTACATTCTGGTTATTGAGAAATGCATTCCAACTTCTGTTATGACTTATGGTATTGTTCACTTCATATCATCTAGGTCATGCTTTATTATATCTTCTTGAATGTATTGGTTGCTTCATATATTCTGCTGGTTGGAGTCTGGTCACATTGAGCTATGATTTTGTACTTCCTCTTGGTTGAGTGTTTCCAGGATTAATACTTTAGTAGCTTTGTTAAAAGTTTTCTATTTCTTTGCAGTTTTCTGCATTTGATGGCTTGACTTTGAATTTGCTTGTTTTTTGTAATTGTGTTCCAATTTTGTTTCTGGGTTGACAGCTCTTTAGAGTGTCGAAAGATATTTGTCTGCTTGAAATTGTTTAAAGCTAAAGCTTCATCACTGTTTATATGAATTTGTTGCGTGTGGCTAAACGAATGATATTATTTTGATTGTTGTAGCTGCTTGCAGTTAATATATTGTGTTTATTTATAGATGGATTCTTCTAGTATGCTTTATTGTTTTTATTTCTTTTTCAGTTCTTGGACCAATATATTCATAATTGCATACTCATTCTAATGATATTATGTTACATGTTTTCCCAAGTCATGTTGAACCATATGAATATATGTAGATTAGGTCTAGTTGAGTGTGATGTTATGTTCTTGCTGGATTCATATTCTTCTATGGGAAAGTTTGTCCCTTTTATGTTCCAATTGCACTAAGATTGAGTATTATCTTACTATCTAGGATAATGATTATGGAGTAATTGTTTATCAAATAATTTCTGTTGCTTTTGTAGAACATCTACTGCACAAGCTTGAACTGGAGTGCAGATGGAAGTACCTTGTTCAGTGGTTATACAGATGGTGTTGTTAGAGTCTGGGGGATTGGACGCTACTAAGGAGAAATTAGTAGTAGTGAAGATTGCTTTTTTGTTTTGGATTCGAAACAAATTATCTTCTTTGTAGTAGTTGAAGCTTAAAAAACTATTTAAGATTTTGTTGAAAGTGTTTTGGATCTTTGTTTTTTTGTTTAATTTGGATATTATATATGGCATTGAGGCCTTTTCTTTGGATCACATGTTAGGTGGAATGTCTTTCATAATTAGTTGGTTACGAAATTGAGATTTTTGATGTGTAATTGACTGGCATTGGCAATTTTGAGTCTTTGAAAACGGTAACCTTTAGGCCTGCCTTGAGGTGTGGGGAAATTTCTCATAATTGATGACGAGAAATCGAACTGTTTCAATTATTCATTTGATGACTCGGGGGTGGGGTGCTGTGTATATTTTCAGTCTTCAAACAAATTCATCTTACTATTTCTTTTCCTTTTGAATTTTAAAAGTCCAATGTTGTTTTCTCATTAATTATATATATTTTTTGGTGAATTTGAATTCCTCGGACGGAATGCATGTGAAATTTTTTGTTCTATCCAAATAGTTTTACTTGCTTGTTGCATCAAGTGATAAATGCAAGATTATTAACTCATGGACTCTTTCCATATTGATCACATCCCTTTCTCGTGTTTGCTCACATACATACATATATATCATACATATATATATATATATATATAATATATAATATATATAGTAATATATATTACGAAGTATTTGTACATTAAAACACAGTTTTTTTTTTTTTTGGTGATTTGGGATTCTTATATATCAATATCAGAATCTTGTAAGTTCTTTTTATTTTTCTATCTTTTGTACAATTAAAATTAAAATTATATTTTATTGTTAAATAATTAAATTGTTTGAATTATAAACATAATTAAAATTAGATATAATTAATCAAATTTTATAATTATTTAAAATAAATTAATAATGTTACAATTTCTATAACACGTGTGGGAAAACAAATCTTTTAATAAAATGCTACATACAATTTATAAAATATAACGTACAATAATAAAACAACCAATCCATACAAAGGTTATGGATTGAAGGCATGAATACATATTTATTAGGGGTGGACAATCTTCGGTAATTACCGATTTACCGAATTGATTTACCAATTTACTCAAAATAATATTATTTTGATTTTTTTAAAAAAATTCAATTTTTATATGATAAATTAAATTGGTCATTAAACAGTAAAACTCTGTTGGTAAACGGTAAATTAGATAAATATTTAAATCGTTCGGTAAGCAGTAAATACTCAATAAATCGATAAATGCAAATTCGGTAAACGATTAACGGAATCGACCGAATGTCCATCCTTAATTGAAAGAAAAATGGGGAAGTAGATATGGGGTATTTTTGGTATTGATGGAAAGAGATTAATATGCACAAGTACACGACTGTATATATATGAATATATATATATATATATATATAATATATATAATATATATAATATAATTTTCAATCACTGAGTTAGTCAAAAGCATTTTAATACCATTGAAAAAATATAAGCCGAAATTAGTGTATTCTTATATTTTTAAAAATACATTAAAATATTCTTAATTTTTATTTCAATTACACTATTTGATTCTTCCATTCATATTTTATATTTCCGTTAAATACTTAGAAGAAAAAGATAAAAATACCCTTCATTAATAAATAAATAGTATCCCAAGCGCACCAACAATCCGACATGACGATCTCCTTCCTTCTGCCATCATCCTTTCAACAGCAACAACTGCTTGGAGCTTGCTGAGAATGCTACAATTGATAAACAATCCGAGGAATTCAATGAGGATATACTCAATCGTATTGCACGTTCATTATTTGCGATTTCACCCTGCCCCGCACACATTCTCTCGCTAACGTTAGGGAAAATGACTAAATCAATAGATGGTCGATGGACTGCCGGAGACGGTGGCGCTCTCACCTTAAGCACCACAATTTGCATACAGACTCCTCTCAACCATCACAATGGCAGATTCCGGCAATAAACTGACCTCTAAATTGTACGATTAACTATGATGTGATTACTATCAATTTTTACTGGAGCAGGGTTAACAAAAAAGCCTTAAAAGTCATGAGTTAGTTGTCGCATCATTCTGGTATATAATTAAAGAGAGAATCAGAAGAAAGAGACATTAGAGGCTTATCATCATTGTAGACTCTCAATTTCTTGATTTTTAAAAGCTCTTTGATTTTATCATCTTCTTTCTTGATTTCTGGTGGTTTATAGTGAATAGAGAGCAAAGCCAGTTACTTTCCAAGTGGCCTTGCATACAAGACAAATAAGTTGTTGCTTCTTCACGTACAACTACGCAAGAGAAATGAAACACATGGCTACATTCCGCTGTAAAAATAGTTGTTCTTTGCCCACTCTCTACTCTGCAAGCAGATTCCGCATCTACTCTGCAACAAAGGAGAAGAAAATCAAATTTTTATATCTTGCTATTCAAAGTTTGATTTTTTAATTAAATTGAGATGGATATTTGATAGAGTTTTGTTTCTCTGGAATTCATTTCTTGAGATTCAGTTGATGGACATAAAGAAATTGTGATAGAAGTTGGTGGAGGTGGTAGTTGTGATAGGAATAACAAAGAGGAAGGTAAATAGAAAAAGGATAAAAAAGAAATTTTAATTTTTTACGGATATTTTAGATATAAGATTTCTATCTCTCACCTTTGACTTTTTTTTTTCTTTTTAAAGTTTGATATATGGTAAAGACCATTAATTTTCTGTATTGGTACATAAATTATTTTGTACCGTTAGATTTTCCTTGCTTAATACCAATTCGTTTGATAAAAATTTATACTAATAACCAGTTAACTACTAAACAAATTAACTATTTGCTTTTAGTTTGTCATATCATATTATATATATATATATATATATGAAACAGAGAAGTTTTAAAAATAGCTGAGTGGCGTTTCTCTAATCTGAGCATTCGATTTTCTAATTTTTAGAACTTCCTGAGTTTATTTACATTCTTTTTTCCATTGTTTATAGGATTCTGAATTTATATTATTATTTATATATTAATGAATTGAACCAACTTAAAAAATAAACTTTTACTAATACTTTGAAATTCATCTTATATATATATATATATATATAATATAATTGGTTAAGATAATAAAACATATCTTATCAGTATTTTTTAATATTTAAAAACTTATTTATATTTGGTTTGAAATTCAAAAATATGTAATTTTAAAAATTTTTGAATTTTATTTTTATCTATATAAGCAAGCTAAGGTTGTAAAGTAGTTAACCAATTTGGTCGCACCCATCATAATTTATTGGTTCACTGCATATTAATTCTCTATTCTTTATTTTTATAGTTTTTCGCTATTTTCTATCACGCCCGATTCTAATTATCAGAAGAATTGTCCTCTTTGGATCAAGTCAAATCCTCCATACAAGATTGGCAAGACCCACACAGTTTTGCCCCGCAGGTGAAATGGAAAACTTCTCAAGAGGTTACCCATCCTAAGATTTCCGTTAAGCGAGCACGCTTAATTCTGAAGTGTTCTTCCAACTCTGCAACCATTCAACCAAAAGGCGCCTCCAGTGATTACTTTTCCCCTTTTCGATATATATTTTGATTCATTCTTGTGTCCCGCATTCCACTACCCTAGCTAGCCTGTCATCCTAGAAGCTAGCCATGAGCTTCGCTCTACTCGCTCTCTTAGGATCGCTTTGCTGGGTCCAGATGTCATAGGCCCACCAGCTTCCTCGTGGTTCGTCCTCGAACCATACAACTATTGGAGGGGGTCTGGCTCTGATACCAACTGTCATGCCTGACTCTAATCACCAGAGGAATTGTCCGCTTTGGATCAAGCCAAATCCCCTATACAAGATTGGCAAGACCCACACGGTTTTGTCTCACAGGTGAAGTGAAAAACTTCCTAAGAGGTCATTTATCCTAGGATTTTCGTTAAGCGAGCATGCTTCACCCTAGAGTTCTTCCAACTCTCCAGCCATTAGAGTTCTTCCAACTCTCCAGCCATTCCACTAAAAGGCACATCTAATGATTAGTTTCCCCCTTTTCGATATATGATTCGATTCATTCCTGTATCTTGCATTCCACTACCCTAGCTAGCTTGCCATCCTAGAAGCTAGCCAGAAGCTTGGCTCTACCCGCCCTCTTAGGATCGCTTTGCCGAGCCGAGATGTCACAGGAATTCATAAAATCAAAAATTGAAACAAAGTAAGTGTATTTATAAACATTAACCTTAAAATAAGCTTTAGCAAGCTTAGATTAAAGCTTTCTAAGCTTTAGCTTTGCCTTAGGGTTCTCCGACCTTTGGTTTAAGTAGAGAATATCCAAATTTCTTGAAATTAATCACCCAAAAACACTATTCAAGCTCAATTCTCTAAGATTAATCACTGAATCAAGGTTTAATGGAGTGTATTTGATGTGTTTAGTAAGTAAGAATTGAAGAAAAAACATGGAGAAGAAGAAGAGGAAGTGACGCCTAAGGAGGAGAAGAAGAAGAAGAAGAAAACAGAAAGTTGTTGCTCAATTATTGAAGGCTGACTTATATAAAGCAACTAAAGGGAGTTTTGGTCTTTTACCATAATTGGATGGCTAGGATTGAGTCAATAGTCATCTAATCTAATGGCTACAAATATTCTCCAATTAAATTCCTTCAAAATATTATTTATCTCCACAAAATTCTTAAATTCACTCCATAAAAATATAAAAATAATCCTCAATTTTCCTTAATTTAAATAAAACACCATAAATTCCACTATTCACTAATTAATCTAAATTCTCAAATTCTCCAAATAAATTCATTACTTACTTTCTACCCATAAAAATCATGTATACATACTCCAAAAATATTAAATAAAATATAAAACATGTATAGCAAATTTTCCGGACCAAAATAATATTAATTCTCGGACCAGTGGTACTATTCACATATCGATAAACTATTATTTCATACACAGAAAAATGAGGCATTATATTTTCTTTTTGTTTTTTTCTTTTTATTTTCAAATATATTATTGTATTGTTCTTAAATCAACTTCTATTTCTATACATGTTATTTTTATTTCAAGATGCAGATGGAGATCAATAGAAAATTCATAAAAAATTATTGTTTATATACTTTCGGCAATGTGAATTGTTCTCTTTTATTTTTCTCTTTCTCTCAGCGTATCAAAGAATATTGAAAATTTCTTTAATAGTTTATTTACAATCTTGAAAACTTTTCTTTTACTCTAT